AGAGTGTAATTCCAGAAACAGGCTCAGCAATGGTTCATGTGAGGCACTGACGGGGGCCTGGGTGAGGTAAGGTACCTTGGGTAAGGTATCCTACTGACATTAACAGAAAACATAACCACACAAAGAGAACACAAAATATGAAAGACTCCTTTGGAATTGTGTTTCTGCAAAAGGATTTAAACAAATAAAGTGATCTGAGATATTCTATTACTGGGAACCTCATAAAAATTTTCAACTTTCTACAGAGTTTAATCAGCTGAGACACAGTGGCTTTCCCATGTGTGACCCCACGGCCTGGCAGCACTGGATCAGCTGACCGTTGGATCAGGAGCCTTCTCTCTGCACAGTGGCCAGTAAAGGCGCCCTTTGGTCAGTGTCTGGTGTAGTTCTGACCTATGGTGTGTGGAGCTGACTGTGTTTTAATCTCAGTGGAAACGCCAAGTTTCAATGACTAGGGGCAGAGTAACATCACGTAGGCTGAGAGCCAGGGGGACTGTGGTACCAGAGGGAGGGCACCTCCCTCCCCCCGAGCGTACAGCTCTCCCCCAGCCGGCCAGGTGGGCTTCTCCCTTCCCACTTGTGATGTGAAGTGAGGAATGGCCTCGGCCGGTGGAGAGGCGGGTGCTACGCACACCAGCTGCCAGGTGTGTCCTGCGTCCCGGTTCAGGAGTTCCTCCAACAGAGACGCTAAAGCCAGGTGGGCCTCACCCTTCCATTAGGTTTTATTTTCTGTTCATTTCTGTTCAAGTGCTCAAATCTAAAACACAACTTTAATTATAGGTAGTGCTGGGGTCCCCAGTGACTGTCTAAATATCTCATTTAAACTCTCGGCCATGTGGACACTGTTGATCCTTCTCCTTCCCGAAATCTCTCTTCTCTTGGTTTCTCTTTCTTTCTCTTTCTCTCCATTTGTGCCTGTCCTTCATAAGTCTTTGCTGGATCCCTGTCGAAGGGCGTGGCTTCCCCAGCATTTTCTCATCAGCGTGATTTTCCTGCCTTGCCCACCTCCGACGCCCTCACTCCCTTTCGCGGCTCCGCCCGTGTGCCCCCGGCGCCGGGTCTCCCCAGCGTCAGACCGGCCTGCGCGCGCGGAGCAGCGCCTGGCGCGGCCTCAAGCGCAGCCTTCCGAACGCGACTCTCAGGTTCTTCCCGAAGCGCGCCCTGGCTGCCCCTGTGTTTCCTGCGTCCGGTAATGGCACCGTCGTTTGCTTGGTCACCCAAGCGTATTGCTAAAGCAATCCTAAGCCCCTTTTCCTCCCTAACTTCCATATTCATTCAAACCACAGTCTTGTCAACTTAAGTTCCTGAACGGTTCTTAACACTATCACTTCCTCCCCCTGCCCAGCAACCGCGTCGCGGTAGGGTGGGCCCGTCTCTTGTCTCTCACTTAGACCCCCAGGAGAGCGTTATTCACCACCGTCCTGGGCCATCGCGCCCTCCTCGCTTCCCTCAACCGCCACTTGCGCCGCAGCCCAGGGTTTCCCTGGCGCTCTCTCCCCAGGCGGTTCCCTGCAGCTGGCCTTGCCCGGGGCCCTGCACGCCGGCAGGTGCTCCCGCCTCAGCGCGCTCGCAGGCGCTGCGCACCGCACGCGAGCCCGCTTGGGCCTTTGCCGTTTGCTGACAGATTTAAGTCGTGTCTGGAGGAAGGGAAACCATTTTTAAATCTTGCACAAACGTGTTGCGTTGGCTATCGGTGTTTATCAAACGCTTTTCCTACGTAACACTTACCAGAGTTGAAAGCAATTGTTACTAACTGATTATTAATTATTTAATTATTTATAACATTTTAAAAATTTAGATTTCATCTCTTACACCAGACTGTACATCTGCTTTGGGAAGGGATTGCCTCTGTCTGGGTTATTGGTGCACCCTCAGGGCCTGCTTTTTCTGCAGGCCCTTGGGGACATTCAGTCCTATCTGCTGAGCGAAGCGAGCTGGGGCCACCACATCCAGGCTTGGCAAGGCCCCCGTTGTAAGCAGATGAAGTTACCCCCTTCAGCTCTGCACTCATTGCTGGTTTACATCTGTGGCAGCGCCACAAGAAAGCGAGTTAATCACAATTTGCTGATGGGTTATCTAGTCCATCTGACAAGAATGCCCAAGATGCTTTGTAGAAATAACCAATAAAATTTCCCACGTTTTTGTCTTTAAAAACATTTATTTGTACGTAGTTATAAGCATAATGTTTGCGTTGAGTAGAATGGCCAAGTCTAACCACATGTGCTCTATAGCAGTGTATAATGGAGTATAGCATTTTAGCAGTTTATTTTTCCTCTCTATTTTATGACCTTTTATCTAGTATTATGATAAAATCTCGTAGTCCCCAGAGCCTGACTCCAGGACGCAGCTGAGCTCATGCATTCAGAGACTCTGTGGGTTCCCCTGGCAACCAGAGCCGCCTGGAGGCTTCTCAATGCTCTGCTCATTTTGGCTTCACTTTATTTTGGCCATTAATTTGGTAAAAAAGAAAAAAATAATGGGAGTGCTCAAATGAAACAAAATTACTTTTTATCATAATTAGTATTGTTTCACCTTCAAAAGACTGTCTCAATCAGTAGAGGTTTGTTTTTAAGGTTTTTTTTTAAAACGATGACTAGAATTAGAACATCATATTATTAGTTTAGGAGTTCCAGGCTGAGTTCTGCACACTCCTTTAGTTATAAAAGGATATCCCAGAAAAATCCTTTCACACTCGCTATATATGTATGAGAAAGGGAGATCAAGACGTCAAATTGTTGGAATTGTACCAACTTGGTAACTTCCTTAAAGTTGTTTACCTCTTTAAAGTTTTACCTAAATCTTTTCAAGTAACAAATTTTCCTTTCTTGTTTTTCTTTTTTCTTTTGTTTTTAACAGTATATGACTTTCAGTCTTTCTTGTTTTTCCGTCCTTGTTAACATCCCCTCTTAAATATGTTTTGTCTTGGGGGAAGAGTGGCTCTGCATTTGTCTCCTTACGTGAAACAGTTCTGCTCCATAGGTATACAGCAAGAGCCAGAGCACCTGTGTTGGAGCCCAGTGCTGACATGACCAGCCGAGTGAACCACCTGTGCACTAAACAAAGAAAACAACCATTGCAGTAAACGAGTGCAAAAGGAGGCTAGAGAGGTAATGCAGACACTTTCAAAAGCATGTAACACAAAGGCAGTTTTATCTTTAATGCACGAAATTATAGATAGACAAATAGGTAATAGACAAAAAGATAGATGGATAATTCAGGACTTCCCAGCTACATTCCTTTGATATACTATTTTTACTTTCTTTTTACTCTGATGCTGCTCAATTTTTGATAATTTCAAGCAAAACATCTTTGCTGGCTGCTTTAGGGGTTGCACGGGTTTACTCTGGCAGGAAGTAAGCCCCAGACGTGTGGAGAAGATTGTCTGCCTTCTTCCTCATGGAGAGGGTAAGCCCAGACACACGGAAGTCGCAGTAGGTCCAGTGCTTTATGAAAGCTTCGTCACCTGATGAAAGATTGTAATCAGACTTAAAAGTAATATGAGATTTGATAACGTGATTTTCAAAAGGTGGGGTTGAAAGGATTCTGTTGAGCAAAGGAAAGCTTCCTTTTCATATCACACTGCTCAAGAGTTGTGCATTTCTGGGCCCTGGGAAGACCCTGGTGGCCATATCCCCCTTTGGGGCCATGGTGTCTTGAAAGAGATAGGAACCCTCTTCTGCCATCAACTGATGGATGAAAGGGCTAGTGTCAGCCGTTAGAGTGCCCAAGTGTGGCACAGATGTGCGCTGTGAGAAGCAGTGGGAACTCGTGTTGTCAGTCTGAGGCGATGAATCCGTGGGGGGAACGCAGGTGCCCAACGCTTGGTCTCCTCCAGTACCCAGTGGAAAAGGGGAACTTCCCCACTCTCTTGCAGAATCTTCACCTCAGTGGTTGAGCCCTTGATCTCCTCCTCTACCCCACCTTTGTGCCTTGTCCCTAAGGTCCCTTTGCCCGAGGGCTTCTTTCACCCAGCGGAATCTGACAGCTATCTTTGGACTGACAGAGTTTTGCAAAGAAGTGGTGGTGACTGAATTTCTTTACAGGGGTTCATATTCTTGGCAGTGTGACAGAGGAGGTGCTATGGTGAGGGAGAAGTGAGGAGAAGGTGATGGCTGTAAGGATTAATGTAAAGCAAAGAGACACTGTCACCTGCCGGGGCCGGGCCTGGGGCCTGGGTAAAGACGGTGCTTTGCTCTAATACCAGGAAACTCAGGCAATGTATGTAAGGTGCAGTTTGCATGCAGCTCGTCATCCCAGTTGGAACAGACTGAAGGGAAGAGAATGCACAGAACTATTCTATTTACATATCTGAAATCATTAATATTTCACGACGTGGTCTTGTTCTAACTGAATCGTTTTGCTGCTTTATTTGGATGGGTCATTCAGATAAACAAAACTGCTATGGCTTTTCTCCTCACCTGAGAGAAGACATGTCCTGCAAACTCTCCAGATAAGAAGTTCTAGACATTACGAATGAACCAGACGCGTAGTTGCACTGAATAGGCACCCCCTTCCTTATCACTAAATCTCAATGTCTCAGTCTTAGGCCCCTGGGAAGGCTTCGGGCCACCCAGGCGGGGCAGCGTGCGGCTCCGGCGGGGCTGGCCCAGGCGCGGGGCTGGGGCCTGGGGGGCCCCCAGTCTCTGGACGGGCGGGGCGGCGATGGGCGGGCCCGGGGCGGGCGCGCCAGTGGAGCTCTCCGCCCGCGGACCCCTGCGCCCGGCAGCGTCTTAGCTGTGTCGCGCCTCGCGGAGCCGCCGCCGGCAGCGGGAGCCGCGCTCTGCGCTCGGACGCTGCGCTCGGCTGACAGCGGGGCCACGCGCGGGGCGGGCGCGAGCGCCGGCGACTCGCGGCTGCAGGTGCGCGGCCACCCGGGGGCTGAGAGGGACCAGCAGCGCGAGGCTCGGCGCCAACCAGGGCGGCGCTGCGTCAGCCCGCCTGTCTCTGGGAGCCAAAGGTGAGCTTCAGGCTTTCGAGGCGCAGTTCCAGCTAGGGCTCCGAGCTGCGGGGCCGGGGACGTGTCCCGGGGTGGGGAGGTCAGATCGGCGATCTGGGGACTGCTCCACTAGGGCCCGGTGCCTAGGAATGGGTGAGGGGTCTTCGGAGCTGCGGGAGAAGGAGCAAGCGCTCTCCGAGCCTGTGCAGCACCCAGCGGGGCACTTGCTGCCAGGATGGCAGCGAGACGTCCGTCCTCCCCGTCCCGCCTTCAGGGCCGTGCCTCCCGGGTGGGCGTCAGAGCGCCCGGGGTCCCCAGAGCCGCCGCCCGGGCTCGGGCAAACTTTGCTTCTCGGCGTCCAGCCCGTTTTCTCGCTCCCGCAGCCCCGCAGGTGCCGCCTCTCCTCGCCTCCCAGCCGCGGCCGCCCCACCATGGACTCCCCGGTCCAGATATTCCGCGGGGAGCCGGGCCCCACCTGCGCCCCGAGCGCCTGCCAGCTCCCCAACAGCAGCGCCTGGGTCCCCAACGCCAGCGCCGCCTCGGAGGACGCGCCGCCGGAGCCCGCGCACGTCTCCCCGGCCATCCCGGTCATCATCACGGCGGTCTACTCCGTGGTGTTCGTCGTGGGCTTGGTGGGCAACTCGCTGGTCATGTTCGTGATCGTCCGGTGAGCGCGCTCAGGGCGCCGCAGGGGCAGCGCGGGGCGGGGACGGGCGGAGGGACAGCCAGCCGGCTGGTGGGGACTCTGCTCTGCGAAGGGCTCCGCGGACAGTCCGAGGGTGCCCTCTTAGAAGAGGTGACGGATTTCCCGGGAGAGCTGCTGGTGGAGAATAGGGCCAATCCGAGTGGCAGAGGCGTGTGGAAGATTTAAGAGCCACCTCCCCAGCCCACCCCTCTCCCCTCGCCCCTGCTGAGGACTCTGTAAGGGCCGGGCCAGGACCAGGGTGCTGACCACAAGGTCAGTGTCTCTGGTTAGGGAACGAGCCCATCTGCCCGGCCTTCGGCCTGCACCAGTTTGGAGCACTTCGTTTTGTCGTTTGCAAATATTTCTTAGATAGATTTCAGGTCCACGGAACGCACTGAAGATAATTCCGAATTTCCTGTGACTCATCAGATTGGTGTTATAGTTTATGAAACAAAAGCCAATCCACTCTTTAGGGTTGTTGATATCCATATATGAGCCTTTTGAGTACTGAAATGTCATTCCATGTCTTTAGGATGTGGGTGATAGTCATCTAATATTTACCCTCTAAAGTATGCGCTGTGGGGGATTTCAAAAATTGCTTCGCTGGTTCCCCAGCCCCGTGAGAAATTAACGGTTTTATTTTATTATTCTTTCATGGAATTTTCTTGTGGTCAACTTCCAACAATAAATATCCAAATATCCACATATATGCTAATTTTCTGATAACGAAGTGATTCTTATTTTTAAGAGAAAGAAAGAAAAGAAAAGAAAAACCCAACTTTGTTCTACATGCCCTTTAAGATATATGTGTTTCACTTTTGGGGAGCTCTAGGCTGTGGAAATTTCCCTCCAAGAGTGAATAAGCAGCTTACATTCCTTTGAGAAGTCCCTATGCAGTCAAGGAAGGGTGCAAGTCACCCTGATTAAGGACTTCGAAAGGATGAAAAACTTTTTTTTTTTTAGCTTGATTAGGTTGACTTTAGTTTTAAAACAGGCCCTTTATTTATTATGAACTTCAAGAACAATATCATAAATTTTTCTCGTGGGAAATCACATAATAAAAATACCTCTTTATCTTATCTTTTTTTTGGCTTGAGAATGTCAGGTCTTTTATCCTCATCTATGCTCTGAATTTAAAAACCATCATTTAAGCCTCCAAATATATATTATAAAGCTCATTTCACCTACAATTAGTGTTTATAGCTTGGTACCCTTGGTTTCACCATTGCTTATTGCATTTCACAGGAATTCCATTGGTGATGAGTAAAGGATATTAAGAGGGAATATTTTAAAAGCAAATGATTTGTCCAAGTCAGTACTCTCAGGACTGGTCTTCCTCAGACAAAAGAAAAGACAACTGTATTCTAAATTATAATTAAACTTTTAGGAGATCAGAAGCCCTTTTTAAAAATAAAACATTGTTATACAAAAAAAGACCGCTAAGAAAAAAATTCAGCTTTGTTTCTACTCATACCATGCTTAGGTGCTTGAGTTAAACATCTTATTATTTGAATGAGCACCTAAAGTCTTGAATTTGAAAAGAGCTTTGTAGTTGCTCTACAACTTTTTTGCAGACTAGGATTAAAAGGAATTCTAAAATAGCATTTAGATGCTATGTGAAAAGATAACTCCATAGGGAACATTAGACACATTATAAGGAAAAAAGAATTCTTGTAGATTAGCTAGGATTTTTAATGGTTGGATTTTCTAAAGATATCCAGCACTAAAATGTGTTGGATGGGGATAAGTTCAGCTGAAAATATAAAAGAAGTTAGATAGCTCACATGACAACGTCATCCATTTTGCCACCCCGTTCTCAGTTTAGACGTTAAGTATGACAATACACAAAAAGTGAAGAGTTATCCTGCCATCCTGGGATGCCAACCTCCAAAATCTGGCTAGTTCACTTTAGTCTATAGTTCAGAGGGTGGAGGAGTATTCCTGATTTGTTCACATCGATAGATGGTTGAAGAATTGAAAAATAAAACTTTGTGAGGAAAAGTTTATGGATTTAGGGCCGGGCGCGGTGGCTCAC